ATTTAATATCTGATGTTGAATTTTAAAAGTTCTAACGACCATCTAACCATTATTCTTGTCATGTATGAACGGTCGAGCAGCTGTTTAACAGGTTGGTCCATTTGCACCACGATCGTGTGAACCAAAAAATAGCGTCTCAATCTCCTCGCCGCATTGATGAGGGCTAGATCCACATTTTTTATTTGCTGATATCTAAGTTATGGGCCCTATAAGGCTTTGCTAGTGAAGTATATGGGCTTTGGTGAAGTATATGGGCTTTTGTCCCTCAAGGGTTTCCCGTATAAGGGTTACACTGACAACCTCTATCGCGACGGTGAGATAAAGGTAAAGAGTTTCTTCGTTATATGGTCGCAAGAGGACTGGTGAGTTTGTTGAATCCCATGCCAGATATGACCATGGCAGAAGGGAAAGCCTCCCAAGGGGTATGTGTTGAGAAGTAAAGGGGATAACCGACATCATCGGGGACGTAAAATTCCTATGGTCGTGAGATGCACATGGAGATATTCAGATTAGTGTCACCTAAGGACAAATTTTCCTCCTCGACGCTCTTCGATTCTTGGGCATCCTGTTGAGGTGCATCCTTTTTCTTTGTGTATTATTTCAGATTCCCGTCCCTGATGAGGATCTTGATTGTGTTATTGAAATGAATGAATTCTTCAGTAATGTGCCTGTGGCTCTTATGGAATCAAAAGTACTTGGTCTTGTCCGTGTTAGGCTTGGATGGTGTTTTCCTGGGAAAACAAACCCCAACCTAGTGGAATTTTGAATTCATGCATTCGGATAAGACGTGCTCGCAAGAAGTGGCCCATTGGTGTGTGCTCATGGAAGCGGCCAACATGTCCTTTGTATTCCTGAGACTCATGGAATCTATCATATTTCCTCTTATTTTCTCCTCGACGAGGCGCCGAGGAGTCATCATGCTTCAAAACCCTGGCACTCTCTTGGTGTCGTGAGTCCTGTGCATTATTGGCGGCCTCCTTTTCCTCGTACTAGATGTATGTCCATGCTTTAAGGAGGAGAGTATCTAGAGTTTCGGGCATTTCAATTCTGACCGCCTTGGTGAAGTTGTTGTAGGGACGCTGTCTGCGCTCCAGTAAATACTTCTTCATGTTGTCAGTCGTGGAGACCTAGACAACTTCACGATTGAATCTTTCGATGTATGCTCGAAGGGATTCGTCTTTCCCTTGTATGATCACTTCGAGCGTTGCTTCATATTTTGGGTGGTGACGAGAGGCTGTAAAGTGCTTTGAGAACTTCTTCCCAAGATTCTTCCAGGAGGTGATGGACTGGCTGGGGAAGCTTTTGTACCGCGACATGGACCATTTTCTCAGTGTAGTGGGGAATAGTCTGCATTTGATAGCACATTTGACGCCCTGATAGTCGAGTAGGGCATTGATGTTCTCAATGTGTTCAGTGGGGTTAGTTGTCTCGTCATACGTACCCAACTTTGGAGGCTTTTCCAGCCCGGCAGGGAGTGGAGTGTCCATGATTTCCCAGGATAATGGACCACAAAGGTCATCTTTATTGTCCAGCCCGGTGACTGTGGTGGAGAAAAGTTATTCTTTCCTCGCTAGGGACTATTATCTCGACAGGGAGATGGGCTTCTTGGACGGTCCTTTTCCATGGGCAGAGGTGAATGACAGTTGTCTGATTTTTTATTGCCTTTGGTTTTCTTGGAAACTAGGGAGCATGGTCCTTGCGAGGGGGGGGGGGGGGGAGGGGGTCGATCGAGCTTCTTGATGAATGAAACCTTTAGTTTTTCCGGCGCTGAACAATGACTTGGTTGTCGTGGAGACGGGTTGCGTGATCTATATCGTTGGTGTCTTTATGGAGGAGATATTGAACGACGTCCTTTCTCCAATGCCCCAATCCTTTAACTTTTGGAGAATCAAATTGTTGGTCTGGTTGAGCGCCGCAAGCGGGGCTGCCGTAGTCAGATCGGTGTTGGAAGGCACTAGAATAAAATGAAAGTTCTTCGGCGCCCCTTGGGTTTTCTTGATTTTGCTGGTTTGTACGAACTGAATGTGTTCATCCTCTGCCTCGTCGAAGGAAGAAGATTTGTTGCGACCTTTTCTCCTTTGGGGTATAGTTTCTTTGAGAAACAACATTTCTCTATCGTTGTCAATTTTACGGATAGGTGAGATGACTATTTTCTGAGCAAGGCTACCGTTGTCTTGACCGACCATGATGTAATCTTGGAAGTTTGTTTTGATCTTCTTGCTTCAAGGAAAGAAAATATAGGAAAACAAATATTCCCACAGACGACACCACTGGTCTTACCTGGAATCAGAACCTGTAATGGGGAAGTAATTTCGTCTACAGTGCTAAAATCATGGAAGAGGGGGCATATCGGTGATCATAACCTATAATGGGCCGATAACTTTTTCCGCAGTACTGGAATCACGGAGGAGGAGGGGCGTACTTGCAAGGCATTTTGATGCTCAAGTAAGTAAGAGTGAAGAGATACGTGAGAGAAAAAAGGGTTTGAGAATTGAATATTTGACCCTCACATGCTGAAGTAGAAGAATTTGCCAAAATCTTTATGGGGTGAAGCTGTTTCGACTGTATTTAATATTCTGAACAAACTCCCTACCAAGAAATTGAAGAGCGAGGTTCCTGAAGAAGTGTGGAGTGGAAAACGACCATCAGTAACTCATTTGAAGATGTTTGGCTCTATGTGTTACAAGCATGTTCCTAATATGAGAAGAAGGAAGCTTGGCGACAAAAGTGAACATATGATTCTGGTAGGATATCATAAAACTGGTGCATACAGGATATTTAATCCAATCAATGATAAAATTGTTTTGAGTCGAGACATTGTGATTGATGAAAATTATGATTGGGATTGGAATTTCTAATTATGCAATTAACAACCCATTAATGAGTTATGGTTTCTTCAAAAAAACTGATGAAGTCGAAGTCAAAGAAATTGCAAATTTTCTAGTCGAAGCAGATGCTGACATTCTTGACATACTCGAAGTTGAAGAGGGTGTGGTTAGCATAAGCCAAAGAACTTAAAGAACTAGAGTTCTTGCAGCAAGACTTCATGATTATGAAGTGGCTGGTAATGATGAAGTCAAGTCAGATGGAAAATTAGTTCATTTTGCTTTACTTGCAGGTGTTGAACCAATCAGCTATAGTGAGACTTTGAAGATTAAATAGTGGAAGTCTTCTATGGTTAATGAGTTACAGGAAATCGAAAGAAATAACACACAAGATTTAGACGAACTACCAGCACATACAAAAGCTATCAAAATAAAATGGGTGTTCAATTTGAAACATAATACTGATGGGTCGATATCAAGATATAAAGCAATATTAGTAGCTCGAAGTTTTCTTCAAAGAGAAGGACTCAACTACTCTGAAGTATTTTCTCCAGTAGAAAGATTGGAGAGCAAGATTGGAGAATGTTCGAATAGTGGTAGCCTTGGAATGCAACCAAGGTTGGTCGACATTTCATTTAGATGTGAAATCAGCATTTCTGATATAGGTTCGCAGTCGGACTAGTGAGTTGATACATGAGTGAACCAAGAGTGTCGCACATGAAGGCTGCACAAAGATTTCTAAGATACTTAAAAGGGTCAATAGACTATGAAATTCTATTTCAACGACATTCTTAAGGCAAAGAAGAAATAGTTACTTGTTTTTCAGATGCTGATTGGTGTGGAGATAAGGAAGATTGAAGAAACACAAATGTATATTTCTTTCAAGTATTTGGTGCCCCAATCTCATGGTGCTCATAAAAGTAACCTGTGGTGGCATTATTATCGTGTGAACCAGAATATATAGTCGGGTCCTATGCAACATGTCAAGTAATTTGGATTAGATCGGTACTTGAAGAAATAGAGGTCGGAGTGAAAAAATCTCTTGTGTTTCAAATCGACAACAAGTCAACTATAAATCTGGAGAAGAATCCAGTTTTGCATGGAAGAAGTAAGCATATCAAAGCTAGATTTCACTTTTTGAGGGAAAAGATAAATCGAGGTGAACTTGAAGTTAGACATTGCTCAAGTGAAGCACAGTTGGCCGACATTTTCACCAAAAAATTGAAGATCGACAAATTCCTGAATTTGAGAAAGAAATTAGGAATAATTCATATTGACTATTTTTAGAGTATGTTCGACAACTTAGATTATAGAGGATATGTTGAGATATTAAACCTAATCCAAGTTGTGTGACCTAAGCCCAAGCTCAATTAGTGTTTGTTAACCTACTTAATATATAAGTTAAGTGTATATAAATAGTCATAGTTTGTATCATTATTTGTAACAATTCAAATTAATAATATAATTCTTATTTCTTTTATTCTCTTTTTTTTCCCTAACTAAAAATGTCTCACGCACTAACAAATATTTATCAATACAAATATGAAATTAAATTCGTAGATTTCTTAAAACTACATGAATGGAATGTGTATTATAATCTTCGGTATCATCCCTAAATCAATAATATAACTAAAAATACTTCAAATCATTTTACCAAAATAATAATTCAAATTAGCTTACTAAAAAAAGCAATTTTATTTTTCAATTATCCCTTCATGAGACATGTTTCAAGAAAATAAAAGAGTTATTAAAAAGATATTTTAAAAACAAAAATCATATGTCCTTTTGTTGTTATTTATATTTGAGACTGAAACCAATATTAGTAATAAGTAATTAATATGTATATTTAATTTAATATTTAATAACCCACAGAATCTAAACATCTATATTCTGTTTAAAAAAAATAGTAAAACTCATTCTAAATGAGAAGAAAAGTGGAACCGACATCAGTTTGTTTTGTGCAAATAAATATATCTTTGAAAGTAAAAAATTTATACTATCTGTGACTTGACACATTAAATGAACATGTTATATTGCTCATAAATTTCAAAACCAAACACATACCAAAAATCATCTCTTTTATGTTCTATATAAAGCCACACCTTGAATCACTTATATTCACCAAGCAAAAGCAAATTACAATATTTCTATTTCAATCTATTTCCTAGAGAAGCAATGGCAAGCTTGAGAGTTTCTTGTGTGGTTGCATTGATGTGCATGGTGGTTATTACTGCACCCATGTCAGAGGCTGCAATCTCGTGCGGAGTGGTAGCTGGGGCCCTTGCTCCGTGCATTGCTTATCTTAGGGGTGGTCGTGGTCCATCACCACAATGCTGTGGTGGAGTGAGGAGACTTAACGCGGCGGCCCGAACTTCCCCCGACCGTAAGGCTGCTTGCAACTGCTTGAAAGGTGCTGCTCGTTCTATTCGTGGTTTGAATCCCAACGCCGCAGCTACTCTCCCTGGCAAATGTGGTGTTAGAATTTCCTACAGGATTAGCACCTCTACCAACTGTGCAGCGTAAGTTTTATAACTCACCCTTCTCATAGCAAATTCTTATCTGTTAATTCGAACCTGAAAACATATAAAATCAATAATTTGTTAATTTGATTGTGTTTTTGTTGTATTGCAGCGTCAGATTCTAAATATAGTTTGGATGAAAGGAAGAAGAAGATAGCATGGCACTTCTTTCTACTGCAGTATTACCAGCACTAGCTGTTGAGTTAACAATGAGAATAAATGAAGGGCAATGAGGGCTCCAACTCTGCGAGTTTCCTTGGCCTATACCAGGCTTTCGTCTATAGTTGTATTGCATAATGATTTTTTTTCAGTTTGGATGTTGCATTTGTAATAAAGATTATGATTATTCCATGCTACTTTGCTTTCTACTAACAATTCTCTTATTGCTTTTCTCTTTCCTCTGCTGCCTATATTTATTGTTCTTGCTCATTCAAAATTCTTAGAATATGTGGATTGAGAAACTCATCATTATAAAACTAGATTGCCCCCACTTATAAACACAGTACATATCATATCTTTAAGCAATATGAGATTAATTCACCACTTCAAATCCAATACAATGAAGCTGTTGGAGACTGCAATGAAGGCAAGTCAAATGTCGCAATTTAAACGACTAGAGACAGACCGTGATGAAGAAAAAAATTCCAACAAATGATGCGGGGAACCCAACAAATGATCTAAGATAGGCTTAAATACCATCTTAAAATGTATAATTTAGATCTACCTCATTCCTATAAACCAACTGTAAAGTTGACGCATTGGTAACTTGTTATGTTGAGGAACCTACCTCAACCAACTATAATTCAATTTACTAAATTGACAGGGAACAATTATTATGAACACAAGGGCCATATATATGTAACTAACCAAATTTTTCATTCAAAATTAAATATAGCTCAACAACCTTATCCTAGAAACTAAATTCAATCAACTAACTTTCAAAGTAGACTATACCAAGGGTGGGGTCAGTTACTAACTCAAATGAGAATTATAGTAAACAGCAAATTATTTACCCAACTCACTAGAGGACAACAATATTTTAAAATGCAATCGTAGATGAAACCCGCATTGAGCACAAGTGCAAGAAAATGTCAGACGATAGTATAACTATTACTAGCTTACATAACAGGAGATGTCAATACTGTCTAAATGTAAGATTGAGGCGACCAGGACAAAGACCGGTATCATGAACCAATTCCTCTGGTGCTGAATTTGGTATGATAGATGAGACACCATGATAGACATGTCGAGAATCACCACCAAATATAAGAACATCTCCTGATTCTAGAAGTACACTCTCTGCCTTCTCAACATTCCTTTGATCTCCATAAAGAAATTCTGCTGAATCACCAATACAGAAGGACACAACTGGCAACCCTTTCTTAAGACTTTCTTTGCTTTCATCACGATCCTGCATCAAGTAGTTTTATAACGGAAACGAAAAAATGTAAATGGCTAGCAACAAAATGAATGAGTTGAACAACAAAGTAGTGTAATTTACCTGATGAAGACCAAGCCTTCCAGTAGTTGAATAAAAATTGACAATGCATAAATCAGGAGTCATTGAAGGTAGTATATCCTCTACATAGCTTATTCCGGATTCCCGATTATATAGCTGATGTGCTTCTTGTATAGCTCTTAAAACCAACTTACTAAAGTAAGGAGGAATACTTGGTGGCTGGCTACCATCAATTACCCTTTTAAATCCATATTTTCTTGTTTGAGGATCCCAGTCCATACCAAGGCACATCATCATCAATCTAAGTTTGGCTCCGTCTGCATAGCCCGGTTGATAGAATCCTCCAGGACCGAGACCGAGATTGCGACAACTTTTCACTATTTCTACCTGAAGTTATTCAAGAAAATGTGGTAAAAGAATTGAATCCAGCACATATGAAATAAATAAGTATTCCAATACATCATGCATTTCATTACAACAAGTACCTGCTCATTATGTGTTAAGTGATGCTTCAGTAGAACCATCCCTGGCCTCAGTATCCCTTCATTAGTTCCTTCCTCCTGCATCTCAAATTCAATGCAGTTTTCCTTGTTCTTTTCTGCAGGTGTAACTCCTGTCCAAGTAGAATTTCTCTTACCACGAAAACATATGTCATAGTTAAATTTTATTTGCCTTTTATTATATCGTCTATCATTCGATGCAGTGTTATCCTTCTTCCAAAAACGACTTTGATGAGGTGATTCATAACGGTGGCTTGTGAACTTTTTAGTCACTGACAATGTCTTTGTTGGAGATATATTACTACTATTATTATCATCAAAACTGGAACAAAACCTAGATTCACTAGAGTTATTCCCGTTGCGTTGTCCCATTTCTAAGTCGACGCAAATTCTCCTCTTGAATTTACTTTGATCATAAACAGTACTAGTTGCTGGAAAAGGTAAATGATTACAACATAAAGTATTTTTCTTTTTATGCAGCGGTACAGGAATAGTGCCCACCATAAAATATTCATCTTCACGTCGTGGCTGTGATTGTATTGATGATGAGTTTGTACTGTCGTTATCTGATTCAGCCATGGGTAGTGAAATCTGGTTGGAAGAGAAACGGAGGAGAAAACAGCGTTTTGGGGAAAGAGGAGAGTGAAACGACGACGTTAGCGTAGTAGTGGGAATGAAGTGTCGTGAAGAAGAAAGCATGGGCATGATGTATGAGAGTAATTTTAAGAGTTGCGGTATTTCTAGGAATTTGATTATTGCTTTTGGGAAGATGGAGTGGCTGTGTTGTGACCGAGGACAATTTATTGATTATGAAGTTCGGGATATTGCAATTTTACACTTAAAACTGAAGGGGTGATTATTATTTTTGCTGGTGCGAGGGAATCTGGAAAGGTACGACAAACAAATAAAAAGAACACCGTGAATGACTTGATTACAAAATAGGAGTTACTCCCTCTATTTATAGATTTAGTTAGCTTGCTCCCTAAGTTAAACCCAAGCCCAAAATATCTCTTTACTAAATCAAATCTAATCTAGATTTAAATTCAAATCTATTTAAATTTAAACAAATCAAATCTTCTTTTGACACATATGAATTACAATTTAACAATAATCTTCTTTATAATAAAAATTGTGTACCATCTATTTCTTAAAAAATGAGGTAAGATAATCATCTATTAGTAAGAAACATATGATATCGCACCAGTCTCGTCTGAAATTACGTTACACGTCTATCAGACCTTCATTTATAAAATATTATGAAAACTAAATAAATATTTATTTAATTACTAATATTAATGATTAATAACTATTAAATATATTACAAAAAAAATGACATATTTTAAAAACAAATATTTGTAAAAATGTTTTTAATATATTTGCTAATATTATTTTTTATAAATCATTATACAAACTAAATTTTAAAAATATCATTTTGTTTCCCTCTTTAATAATTATAAATTTATTTAGTACTATAATTATTTTTTAAAATATGTATTCAAACCTATTTATCTTTTTATTAAAAAAATGACATAAATGCCATTAAAATGTGGATATTTTTCTTAATTACAATTTATTACATATTTAATAGCTTTATGATAATTAAAAATAAATTTAAATTTATTTAATCATTTTAAGTTTTGAGTGATTAATGTATTTAAAGAAGTCTAGAAAGTATTAATGAAAAAATAGAAAACAAACGTTAAAAATATAAAAGGCATAATAGTCCGTTGAAAGGTATACTGATACAATTATTATATATTATTTTTAATAAAATAAATTTTATTTTTGTAACGCTACAATTTTTATATGGTCGAATTAAATAAGAAAGCGGTTAAAAAAAGAAAAGTTGTTCAATAAATAATTTATTAATATAATAGTCTTTAATAATTTTAATTAACATTATCTCAATTATTTTAACATAATTAAATTTAGAAATTAAATAAATATTTCTTATTATTATTAGATTTGAAATTAAAATAAATTACCTTAAATTTCTTATCAATTTTCTTTTATTAATGATGAATTTGGATAAAATATATTTTACTTTTAAGAAGCTCTATAAAAAATCATAATTAATTGATTGAATTAATTTTTATAAAAGTAAAACGACGTGGTTAAAAAATTTCTCGTTCTAGGTCAAAACAAATTTTAAAGAACAAAAGAAAAATCAAAAAGAGGTAAACAAACTCCCTAAAACAACGCAACAATATTTTAAATAGATGGTTAAAACAAAATCACGTGTTTTTATTAAAAGTATAAAATAAATATCAATCTTTTTATTTGAAAATTGGAAACACGACATTATTGTATTGAAAACAAAATCACTATAATAAAACTAATTCCAATGAATAATAAAATAAAAAAAATCATAATAATTAATGAAGTAATTAGCAAAAAATATTAAATAAAAAAATACAGATTATACCATTACTACATATTGAATACCATGTAAATATTAAAGGATGAAAAATACGCATCATAGTAATACCATTACTACAATTGAATACCATGTAAATATTAAAGAATATATCTTTTGATTTGAAATAGGATAGAAATTGAAGGATGAAAGATACAAATGATGGAAAAAGAAAATAAAAAGGGATTTGATTTATAGAGAGGATCGAAAAGAATTAGATTTATTGAAGATGAGAGTAGAATACATCAACCATTATATTTTTCATGTTTTAGCACAACACAGAACTTCTGAGTTCTCCTCACTGTTTTAACATACAGAATTTCTATGATTTTTCCACTGTTTAAACATACCGAACTTCTGATGTTCACTCAGTGTCTTAGCACATACTGAACCTCTGAGCTCTCTTCACTATTTTAATATACATAACTTCTAAGATTTCTTCATTGTTCTAACACTCAGAAGTTCAGCACATGGCAATACATAACTTCTGTGTTTTTCCTCTAACGTGTCTTGCAGGACCTCAAAGTGTATCAATCCAGAACTTCTGACGCTTCCTTCTGAATCACCGCGCGCCTGACTTCAGAACTTCTGATCCTTGTTGTTTTGCTTGCAGCAGCACGATGTTCCTATCTTTCATTTATTTTCCTTTTTTATCATTTTTAATATTAACTCTTTTTTTTTATTAATATAAAAAAGATATAAAAATATTTTCTTTTATTAATTTATTTCCTTTTTTTCTTAATTCATTAAGACAAAAAACCATTTTCTAAATAAGTTCATTTCACATTTTCTTGTACATTCTTATCCATTTAATATGGTTGTAATAGTAACTTAGGATTTAATTTTTTTATTTGCAATCCCCATTTGTAAATATGTACCCCCATTCCTAAAATATTGTAATAGCGTAGGACTTTACATTTCCGCAATTTATCGCTTTCAAATGTAAATGCTAGTAATTAAGGTGTGTATGGCAAGACATGAAAACAACAAATAGACAACCTAAACAACAAGACTAAATGCATGCAATCAAACACACTTGCACACTAGCACCCTTAGGGTAATCCCACTTTGTGGCCTATCGAAAAATAGTCACGTCCCTCGAACATGGGTGTTTAGCAAAGACCCTCGATAAAAGATCGTAGTCCCTCGATAACCCTCGATGTTGTCTTCGATAAATGATCTAGTCCCTAAAATGACATTGTTAAAACGTCTCATAGGTTGTCTCTTATGACTATACAAACGTCTCACACTCGTCCCTTAAACATCCAACGATGGGGCTTCTTATCAAATCAAATGGTAAAATAGCAACATTTAAAGGAGGAGGAAAAGAACATCTAAGACCTTTTGAGTAGGTAGATTCGCTCCTAGTTGCTCGCTTGCTCACAACAAAAACATTTTTATACACCCACACTTTCATTTGAAATATTTTCAAAAGAAAAACACTTTGTACGCGTTCTTATAAAAACGAGAGCCATTACAAAGAAAACCTTTTTCAAAATCACTTTCAAAAAACACATTTCACAAACATTTTTTTGAACTATTTTCAAAACAACACTTTGTACGCATTCTTATAGAGACGAGGATCATTACAAAGTCACATTTTCAAAATACTTTCAAAACTCACATCACAAAGCACATTTCAAAACAAAAGCAAGTGATCTAGCAAGTAACTAAGAGCCTATGGAAAACCATGGATGAAAAGGGTGCTAATACCTTCCCTTTTCATAATCTACCCCCCGAACTCAAGAAAACATCTCTAAAGGTCTTTTCTGGGCTTTTTCACCTTTCCTTATGGGATAAAAGAAAAGCCGGTGGGGACTCTTTCTAAACCACAATATTTGCAAATAAAAACGCAAAAACACCCAAGTCAGTTCTCCCACCGCATTACAGACTCTAAGGACAAGAGTTACCTTTATATTTTTCAAAGTTCCAAACCTTGAATCTGACAGGAACCTTATCATTAGGCACCGAGAACAAATTGTAAGCATTCTTGCCAAACAAATCATTTCCCTTCATAGCTTTCAATTCCTCCAACAACTCTTGAAATTGACCTTAAAATTCATCCATCCTCTAATTCACATCCATATTCTCACTAGGAACAACGTGGAAAACATGGTTCTCTTCTTGTGGAACACCATGCACCATCAGAGTATCAATCACCATCACATGCTGAAAAGGAGGAACTTGACTCACTGGAAGAGTCTCGATATACTTAAAGGCTTCCTACGAGGGAGATACCATTCCAGGTATCAAACCATATTATGCTCAACAGTTTAGAATGAGTGGCCAAATAGTGGAAGAAAATGATACACTAGGAGAATGTACCCTAGGTATTAAGGAATCACTATGATATCTTACGGAAATCAATGATTCTTTCAAAATAGAAATAACTAAGCTAAGAAATTCAAAAGAAGAATGTAAGCAGTGTGACTCTCTTATAGAAGAAGTTATTGATCTACGTAGGAAAATTTACCCAAGGCAAAAAGAAATTTGACTTAATTTCAAAGGTCTTCCCTAAATTAAAATGGTCTAGGATTTAGACAAAGATAGAAAGTCTAGAAAAGACATATATCATAAGGAAAAGAAGTGTCCAGTATATAAGTACACACATTGTAAAAGAATATGTCACTTTGAATCTTTTCATTTTGATAAATTGAAAAGATCTAAAGGTGACAACCTTAGATTCTCTATGATTAATGCACTTGGGACCAAGAAGATATGAGCACCAAAGGTGAAACCTTAGTATTTTTCAAGTATGCTTTGTAGCTTGGAGATTTGATGATCATTAGTAAAAGCTTTGCAAACAAAAGTATAAATATACTTCTAAAGTATATAATATTTATCAAGTCTCTGTTCCGAGGACGGGCGGTGATGGCAAATGTCAACTGTTAATATCAAAGAAAATTTGTTTCAGAATATCTCAAAGTTTGTGATTCTTAGTGATCAGTTGAATGAATATGTATGTAATAAACTTATTCATCGCGTATATTTTATCAACTCTCACATTCAACAATATATAGAGGAGGATACACCTGAGTATAATTGATGGAAATATTTATTAAGAATTCTTGATAAAAGAGGTATACATTATTTTAAGATTGAGATAATCGAAAATTCTGATTAACCCTCTAATATAACGAATTTAATTTTTTTGTCATCTATATAAATTGTTTTCTAACCCAAAAGATGAATATTTTAGTATTTTATAGCAAATGGGTGCAAAGAAAGATAAATGAGAAAGCAGAAATGCAACAAATCCAACACAAGGCCCAACATGCACCATAGAGGCTAAACTACGTAAAGCTAATCGGTTAGCGCGTTATGACAATCTATTAAAAAAACTTGGCGAACATATTTTCAAATCAAATTCATATCAAACTCGTGTCTCAAGTAAATAAGCTCCATATTTAATGAAGATCGCACAAAATCCTAATAAATATGACAATCTAATCAATTAGATCCTTTAGCTAATCGATTAGCAAACCTAATCTAAAAAGATTTTGATTTGACTTTCAATCAACATAATCCACATTAAATATTTGCCAATAATACACGTCCAAATCTTCAGATGACAAACTCACCAAGAATCTCAAAAGATTAAGCTTTTCTTCTAGACCCTTCTATGATGTCCTCATCACCAAGCAATAAGAGGCAGAATTCTTTCAACATTTTGCCAATCAATCCATTCTAAGAATTCACACCATAGATCCAGAACACTTCAATGAATACAAGTTCTTCAAAATACTTGAAGAACTCAACTTATCCAACTTATCCAGTTTTCACTATATGCCCTCAAAAAGAATATATTCATCCTTGATAAAGATATTCTTCTCAAATCTTCATCTCACTCATGAGATATTTAACACAGACAGTTCAAATCTTTATGTTATCTCTCCTCTCACATGTGTCTAGCATCATAGGGTGCATATAGAAGAAGTTTGAAATATCTGAGGGACGTTCCAAAAAACTATCAGACACGACAATATCAATTTCAGCATCTCGTGCAACATGTACCGAAGTAGTTGGAGTTTCGCAATGAGCCAAAGATACGTAAGTCCAGAAACGATAACATCAAATTCAGCATCTCGTGCAATATGTACTGGAGTGGTTGGAGTTTCGTAATGAGCCAAAGATACGTATGATTCCTTAGCAGCAAACAAACGATGATTCTCCCACTACACCATATATGACTTATTCAAACATATGATATTAAGTCAGGTTCCAAAAGATAAAGACCATGTACCAAATAGCATTTAGTAGTGTATAACTACCAAGTAATATGAGGCTAATATACAATTGCCGAAAGCATCCTTCGTACATGTTTAGCATTTCAAACCGACACCGACAAGGACTGTAGATTCAACTGGATTTGAAAATTAACTTTTACTTTAAAACAACTTTAAATAAAGTTCATATCAAATTTTCAGGCATCCTTTTTCTTTAATTAACAATAATTATTTTTTAACTGTTTCTCTTGAGTCAAAATATTTTCATCCTTCTTGTTTCATATATATAGGGAAGCTATTTAAACTCACATTATTGAAATTATATAAACCTTGAACGAAGGTAAAACTGTTGTATGTTAACATCTCACGTTATAATCTCTGACTATAAAAGTAAATAGGGAGGCTATTTGAACTCACATTTTACAATTTTAGAATATATTTAACAATTTACAAAAAAAATAGAGAATATTTTGCACAATACTAACAAATTTGAAGACCAAGTTATCTATTCACTCAAAGAATGAGTCAAATGAAAGATAATCTTCACTCCTATTAGTATTATAAGCAAAATTTCTCTAAATTGAAAAATCAATATATTTGATCTTATATATAAACCAAATACATTAATTATTCGATAAATCAAACTATAATAATGGCAAGAGCGTAGGTCTTAACTGCAGGAGTAATAAAATAGAATTTCATCTAATATTTATGATAGACACAACCAATTTCAAAAGATTTGATTTGAAACCAAACACATGCCAAAGACCACCTCTCTCGTTTTTTTATATAAAGCCACACCTTGAATCACTTATACTCAACAAGCACAAGCAAAAGCAAAATTGCAAAAGAAAATTGCAATATTTCTATTTCAATAAATTCCCTAGAGAAGCAATGGCAAGCTTGAGAGTTTCTTGTGTGGTTGCATTGATGTGCATGGTCGTTATTACTGCACCCATGTCAGAGGCTGCAATCTCGTGCGGATCGGTAACTGGGGCCCTTGCTCCGTGCTTTTCTTATCTTAAGGGTGGTCCTGGTCCTTCACCAGGATGCTGTATTGGAGTGAGGAGACTTAACTCACAGGCAAAAACAACCGCCAAGCGTAGGATTGCTTGCAACTGCTTGAAAGTTGCTGCTGGTTCCAGTAGCGGTTTGAATCTCAACGCGGCTGCTACTCTCCCTGGCAAATGTGGTGTTAGAATTCCCTACAGGATAAGCACCTCCACCAACTGTGCAACGTAAGTTTATAACTCGCTCTTCTCATAGCATATTCTTATCTGTAAATTCGAATCTCTACCATCAGAAAAAATTGAGTAGGAGGTCTTGGATTCGAACCTAAAAATTTATAAAATTAATAACTTATTAATTTGTTTGTGTTTTTCTTGTATTGCAGCATCAGATTCTAAATATAGTTTGGATGAGAGGAAGAAGCAGATAGCATGGCACTTCTTTATTTTAATGGAGTTCACTAATGAAAATAAAGGAAGGGCAACGAGGGCTCCACCTCTGCGAGTTTCCTCTGCTTGTATCAGACTTTCTGTAGTTGTATTGTTCAATGATTTTTTTTTTCGGTTTGGAAGTTGCTTTTGTAATAAAGATATACACTTTCTCTATCTTAAAATAAGTGTCACATTTGGAAAAAAAATTGTCCCAAAATACTTGTCACTTTAAATTATCAATACATTTTTATATTTACAGTTGCGACAAATAATATGGGACAGAGGAAGTATTATGTATTATTCCATGCTTAGTTTCTACTTTTAACAATTCTCTTGTTGCTTTCCTCTGCTGCCTATATTTATTGTTCTTGCGCATTCTAAATTCTTAGAATGTGTGGGTTGGACAAATTCATCTCTACAAAATTGATTTGTTAAGTAAAGATTATTCCCACTTATAAGCACAACACAATCATATCTTTAGGCAATATGAGACTAATTTACTATTTCAAACCCAATACAATGAAAATGTCGGAGGCTGATGAAGACAAGTCAAATGTCGCAATTTAGACAACTAGAGACAAACCGTGATGAAGATAGAAAATCCAACACAACCTATCACACTTGGGCCTCAATGAGGCCGAAGCGCAAACGATGCGGGAAGTCAAACAAGTGATCTAAGATAACACACTTAAAATATATAGGTTAGATCTAACTCATCCTTACAAAACCGACTTGTAAGGTTAACGCATTGATAACTTGTTAGTTAAGAAATCCACCTCAACCAACTAAAACTCAATTTACTAAATTGATAGGGAACATGGGACATATATATGTAACTAACTAAATTTTTCAATCAAAATTAAATATAGCTCAACAACCTTATCCTAGAAATTAAATTCAATCAACTAACTTTCAATGTACACTATACAAGAGGTGGGATCGGTTATTAACTCAAATGAGAATATAAGTAAACAACAAATTATTTACATAACTCACTAGAGGACAACAATATTTTAAAATACAATCGTAGATGAAACCCGCATTGAGCACAAGTGCAAGAAAATATTCGACGTAGTATTATTAGCCTACATAAGAGGAGATGTCAATGCTGTCTAAATGTAAGATTGAGGCGACCAGGACAAAGGCCGGTATCATGAACAAATTCCTCTTGTAAGTGTTTAGTTATTGGCATGTATTTTTGGTAAAACCATGTGTGTGAATGTCATGACTGATGTCATAACATTCTGGGTTATTAGGTACTTTATGTAGAAAAATAATGGCATACAGTAGCTGCTCATTATGAGTGTGTATCTGAGCATTTTGCAATGATCACATTTATTGCATTCTACCAAAAATCAGTAAACAGGATTCTTGTTGTCATAACCAATGTTAAGACATCCTGTACTGATCTAACAGTTAGGCAGTTTTGTTAATTCTGAGATTTTTCAGGAATATGGTTCATACATTCCAGAACAGAATCTCACGTGGAGTTTAGGTTAACTTGGCTTAACCCTAATCTGGTTGATAAAGTATTGTGACCAAGTCTTGAGGTTAACCCTAATTAACTCTAGCTATTTTCGTGGAAGCCCTAACTGAAGAACAACTGCATATATATTCAACAGGAAGGTTGTTGGTGAAGTTAACTTTTTGACAGAAGATCAACAAGGGGCTGTATAGTTTTAACTACTGTAATCCAAGCAAGTATCATTGTGATAAGTGACTTGGAGTAGGTTTTGATTGTAAGGATTGTGTATCACTCAAAGCTTTGAAGCACGAGTGTTTGTGTCACTTGATTAAAGCTTTGAAGCAAGGTCAAGTTAGGTTTATGTATCACTCAAAGTTTTGAAGCACGAGTGTTTGTGTTACTTGATTAAAAGTTGTGAAGCATAGTCAAGTGTATATTCTGAAGAGTGTCTTCATTATTTCATTAGTCAATTGTTTAGTATCACTGCTGTGATTGAGGGAGAGTGAGTAGGAACTCAGGTTTAAGTTGAACTTAGATTGAAGTTGCATTGGGTAGGTCTTAAGTGAAGGAGATAAACTGGTTAGTTTATTCCTGAATTAATATCTCTTATAGTGAATTTCCTCCCTGGCTTGGTAGCCCCCAGAGTAGGTGTTGTTTCACACTGAACTGGGTAAACAATTGACTGTGTTCTTTACTGCTTTTTGATTTACTGTCTTATAGAAAGTCAGATACGGTGTCATAACATTCATTGTGACATTGAGTATCTGCTGCCAGAATTTCAATTGGTATCAGAGCAGGCACCCTGCCTGTCTTACTGGGTGAGATCTAGGGATATCACTTTCTGGCGTTATGGACAAAGAAGGAGTTTTTGGAAACAGACCACCCATTCTGGATGGATCAAATTATGACTACTGGAAACCTCGTATGGTTGCCTTCTTAAAATCACTGGACAAAAAGGCTTGGAGAGCTGCTGACAAAGGATGGAACCATCCCACCATAACTGAGAAAGATGGGACAATCAGTCTGAAACCTGAGGAAGAATGGAGCAAAGAAGAAGATGAGTTAGCTCTGGGCAATTCCAAAGCATTAAATGCCTTGTTCAATGGAATTGATAAAAACATATTCAGACTAGTACATCAATGTGAACTGGCCAAGGAAGTTTGGGACACTCTCAAAACTACCCATGAGGGCACATCCAAAGTAAAAATGTCAAGGCTTCAGATGCTGACTACCAAATTTGAGAACCTAAGGATGATGGAAGATGAAACCATTCATGAGTTTCACATGAACATCTTGGAGATTGCCAACACCTCAGGAGCATTGGGAGAAAAGATGTCAGAAGAAAAACTGGTGAGAAAGATTCTCAGATCCTTGCCTAAAAGATTTGCAATGAAGGTAACTGCTATAGAGGAAGCCCAGGATATCAGCAATTTGAAGGTGGATGAACTCATTGGGTCTCTTCAGACCTTTGAGATGGGGATCAGTGACAATGTCAACAAGAAAAACAAGAGCATAGCACTTGTATCTAACACTGAAGATGAAAACAAGGAGGATGAAGAAGAAAATATTTCAGAAGTTATAGCCATGCTTGGAAGACAATTCAACAAACTCATCAAGAGAATGGATCCAAAGTCAAGGTCAAATGTCAAGAACATTCCTTCTGACATTAACAGATCTTATGACTCCAGCAGAAGACCAAAGTCTGAAGAGAAGGGAAATCAAAGCAGAGGAATTCAATGCCATGGATGTGAAGGATATGGGCACATTCGAGTTGAATGTCCTACCTTTCTTAAGAAACAAAAGAAAGGAATGTCTGTTACTTGGTCTGACTGGGATTCAGAAAGTAATTCTGAAGAAGAATCTGCCAAACTAGTTACTGCACTAACTAGTATTTGTAACTCTGATAGTGACTCTAGTGATGAGGAAGTGACATTTGAAGAACTGGCTGATTCCTACAAGAAATTATGTATCAGAAGTGCTGAAGTCTGTCAGCAAAATGAGAGACAAACAAAACTCATAATAAAGTTGGAGGCTGAGAAAAGGGCAGACATTGATACTATAAGTCATCTAGAAGGGGAGGTTCAAATGCTAAACTCAAAACTGGACCAGATGACCAAATCTGTCAAGATGCTGACAAATGGAACTGACAAATTGGAAGAAATTCTTCAGGTTGGACAAAATGTGGGAAACAAGTCTGGTCTAGGATTTGTGGCAGCAAAGAAATCTGGTATAGACAAGAAGATCAGGCCTGATAAACAAATGTCAAAGTAGATGTCACAACATAGCACTCAACATCGTGAACAGAGAAATATGAAGAAAAAGTATCAAAGATGGAGATGTCATAATTGTGGGAGGTTTGGTCACATAAAGCCATTCTGCTTCAGATTATATGGATATCCTAATCAGAACTCAGGTGTCAAACCTAAGTCTAACAAGGTACCATATACTCCACAGTGGAAGAAAAAGGCTACTGCCCTGATAGCTCACACTTCCCTTAGAGTCTCTGCAAAGGAAGACTGGTACTTTGACAGTGGATGTTCTAAGCACATGACTGGAATCAAGAACCTTCTCAATAATGTTAAACCTCACACCACTAGTTATGTGACCTTTGGAGATGGTGCTAGAGGAGAAATCAAAGGAGTTGGAAACTTGCACTGCCCTGGAGTTCCAAATCTAAATGAAGTATTGCTGGTAAAAGGCTTGACTGCTAATCTCATAAGTATCAGCCAATTATGCGATCTAGGATTCAAGGTCAACTTCTCAAAATCTGAATGTCTTGTAACTAATGAGAAACAAGAAGTTGTAATGAAAGGAGTAAGATCTAAAGACAACTGCTACTTGTGGGAGCCTGAGAACACTAATTACTCTACTGTGTGTTCTATTGCCAAAGAAGAAAAAGAAGTGAAACCGTGGCACCAAAAACTTGGCCATCTACATCTAAGAGGAATGAAAAGGATTATATCCATAGAGGCAGTCAGAGGGATTCCAAGACTGCAAATTGATGAAGGGAGAGTATGTGGTGAATGTCAGGTTGGTAAGCAGACTAGGATGTCACATCCAAAGTCAAGACATCTAACCACCTCTAAGGTTCTAGAACTTCTACATATGGATCTAATGGGACCAATGCAGGTGGAAAGTCTTGGTGGAAAAAGATATGCCTATGTTGTTGTGGATGATTTTTCCAGATTCACCTGGATTAACTTCATTAGGGAAAAATCTGATGTATTTGAAGTTTTTAAAGAACTGTGCAAAAGAATTCAAAGAGAAAAAGAAGGGTGCATTGTCAGAATCAGAAGTGATCATGGCAAGGAATTTGAAAACAGTAATGAGTTCTGTTCCTCATAAGGAATTAATCATGAATTCTCTTCTCCTATAACTCCTCAATAAAATGGAGTTGTAGAAAGGAAAAACAGGACCATACAGGAATCTGCCAGAGCAATGATACATGCCAAAAGACTTCCTATTCATTTTTGGGCTGAAGCTATGAATACAGCTTGTTATG